CACACCGGAGGGAACTGTCCAACGATACGCGACGCTTGGATGTATCGTCGTCGCGATATCCTAAGCCAGAGAGGATGCTAAATTTATCAACGCGCTAAACATGGAACGAATTGATCTCCAGCATGAGCAATGATTTTTCTCCGACATTACGGCAACAGAAATGCATGGATCGTTTGAAACGAGCGTGTCGATGGACAGATCGCTCGATGATAAGATCTGCCTCTTCTTCTGATTCTCGGTCTCTTTTTTCGCTTCTTTCGGTTTTTCAAAAAGAAACGGAAAAAGGCCAAAAAAAGACGGAAGAACGGGAAATTACTTTCGTGTGGGCCACAGTCGAAATACGCGGGAATTTATAAGCTTGTATTGCATCTCTGTGTCTCTTTCGGCCGTGTGTTTGTCAGTATATGCATTGCAGTTCCATCAGCAAAGCGAAGCGTACAAGAACGCGCTGAAGTACATGAACATGTGCTTCACGGGGATGTTCACCATCGAGTGCATACTGAAGATCGTCGCATTCGGCGCCAGGGTAAGCTCCACTATACTAACAAATCTCATTTGCTCCAACCGAACAGATCAAAAGAACATACTCGCTTAGAGTAGCCGGCTGGAACGCGCGATCGCTCCGAATCGGATTTCTCTCGAAAAATGAAGTCTGCGACATACTTCCTGCCGTTTTCGTGCAAACATTTGCTCGGTCGAGAAAGAAAAGTAAACCCAATAAAATATTTACGTCGGTAGACGGTCGCAGAATCAGTTTTCGAAATAGGCTGGTAAGTTTCGCTTATTACAGTGCAAATAGAGCCTTTCTATTTTTTTTTCTTTTTTTCTCTGTTTTTTTTTTTTTTTTTTTTTTTTTTTTGGAAGAATAGGTAGTACTTGAAAATATCCGTGTATTACAAGATTACGTGTATGTACGAGTAGATTACTATTTATTTGTTAGAGATTACTTGTTCGTGTTCTGGACTGAACAGACGAGAATCGTAGAATCGGGAAAGATCGTCTTCAAAATTTCTGGATCTATGATCTTCATTGACTCGACACATGCCGCGGATCATGAAACATTATATTGGAAATGAAAATTGTCTATAGACGCAATCGTACGCGTAACAAGAACAGAAAACTCATTTAACCATAAGCTATTTTGGAAACTAAATCATATTCACTAAATCATAGATCACGTTGCATCTCACTGTTAAACGTATTTTCACGTTAGTTTACGAAATACACATGGAAACTCACTTCAAACACGACATTATAGGACATACTAGCATTTCATATTGGTCGGTATTTAGCCAAGAATATAGAAAAAGCATAACTATCACGTCGAATTCTATTTTCGTTCGTCTTTCTCTTTTTCTTTTTCTATCTGTTCATCTATCTGTCTATTTATTTATCTATCTATCTATCTATTTATCTATCTATCTATCTATCTCTCTCTCTCTCTCTCTCTTCTTTTTTCGGCTCATTGTTTTAAGTTTCCGAAGGAATTTCTCCCACGAGATACGTCGAACAGAGGCGATCATCTCGAGTAAATCCGACTAGCACGCACGATGAACGTAACTGAGAAAGCTCCCCGCACGCTCATCGCCTGGTTCATTCGCACCTGGTTCGTTGCATTCGCACGTTATCACTGCACGTTGACATACTTCTTTCTTGCATGCATACACCGTTGCTTCGATGCGGAGTATCGAGCTTTTGCCGTCATCTTCGCAGCTCGTTGCTCGAGAAAAGAACGTAATGTTGTAAAGTGGATATAAAACTAAAGTAAAGACGACCGCGAGCGCAATCGATCTTTGGGCACCGATGGGTGTCTATGTTGTTGCAAAGACTGCGTGTTATGGGCCAACGATAAATAATATCATTGTCACGATCACCACTTCGTCGAGATACGATCGTAAACGACAGTACACACCTTACGTTTGCGATAATCGTTGATGGAGTTACGAAAGAGAGATACGAGAGGGATGAAGCTTCCCTCTCGTGAGACTCCGTTGACGGTGAAACGTAACGCTCGATGCCTTTCCGATGAAATGATCGATTTTGGAGTGTAACAAGAAGACAGGAAGACTCGACTGCCACCGATTTCCGTCACACGCATGTCACTCTATCATCGTCAGGAAGGATCAGTTACAGATTTCCATACACATTCATTGTACACATGGACAGACACGTATACAAAGAATCGTTTTGCGCTCGTTGTTACGATTCCGATCAAATGCGCGGAAACGATCGGTTATTTGAAAAAAAAATATTTTTCCAAAGATCTATCGCTCTATCGAAGATTGGTTAGACTTGCTTGAATACTTAATTCCGAGGACCGAAAAGAGGAAGCTAAATAGATCGAAGAGTTCCGTAAGTCGACTGGGGTACATCGCGACGGGTTTACTTTGATCTTTCAAAAATTCCGTCCGTCGCGCGACTAAAAGTTACAAGTTATCAAAATTTGCTCGTATTTCCTTCTTCTTCTTCTTCTCCATGATTGAAGACTACGTGTCGAGCGTGTGTATCTATCGTATAAATATGGAGGTAATATCGAAGTAATCCCGATGCGAATGGACTTCGAATCTCGATAGATGAATTGAGCAAACTTTCTTTCGTTTGCGATTTTAATTCTTTCTTTTTTTTTTTTTTTTTTTTCGTACGACTGCTTCTGAGCAAGAAGAGATTGAAAAATATTTCCCGTCAAAAGAGAAGGTTTGCTCAAGCTGTCGAGCGACGAAGGAAATGGAAAGGTTAAAATGGCTGGCGGTTTGATACCAAATAAATTAAAAGAGTAACGAGAATTAAACGATACAAGAAGGAAATGTACTTGAATTACCGCTAAACATGACGTAGCCTGCCTGGAAAATCGGCGAAAACGTTTCGTGATATCGAGTTTAACGAACAAACGACTCGTGAATTATAAAATAATCGTAGAATGGAAATGAAGAGAAAAAAAAAAAGACGGTTAACAACAGAAAATCTAGGCTTGTGTTACGTCTGTGTGTTGGGTGTATTTTATAGTATCACGAGGCGCCGCCAAAGCTAATGGACGCCTTGAGCGCCGTGAACTTCGTCATCACACTCCTTTTCCTCCTTGAGTGCATCCTCAAACTCATCGCCTTCGGATTCAAGGTATAGAAAAACCATCTTAATCATTAACTCCATTAATATTAATCACACGCAATTATATTTATACATAGTGTATAAATTCTACATTTTTTAATTTTTTTTTTTTTTT